TTTTTGCTGTTATGAGATCTGTGCCTGGAGCTTTCTTTAGACTGAGTGATTTGATTACTTCTAGTGTTTCTTTTGTGGTTGTCGTTTTCAGGGGGTTCTGTATTTTTGAATGAGGTGCTGGGTGATGTTCTATATAGTGGTCGAGTTCTTCATTGAGCGGGTTGAACACGGTGGATAAGTATTCCGCAAATGTGTCAGCTTTCTCCTTGTCGCTTTTGGCATATGGTTCTGCATCATTTTTCCGTATTGGTGGTACATTGCTCTTGGGTTTCTTGAGGTTCCTGATCGGTTTCCAAACAGAATTGTCATATCTTGTTTAGTCACATATTCTTCAAAGCTTTGGTTTTTTATTTATTTGAGCTCGGTCTTCATTCTGAGGTTCAGCTGGTTGTATTTGTTTTTATCTGCGGGAGCTTGGGTGCGTTGCCATATTGTTCGAGCGTTTCTTTTTGCAGCCACTAGTCCCTTGATAGCTAGCTGTACGTCATTTAGATATGCTCTTGGCTTGATGGGAGGTGTTGCTTTTTGAGCAGCTTCTTGTAGAAGTTGTATAAAGGCTGTTGTAGCCGTCTCTGTTTCTCGTGGTTCTTTGAGTCTTATGTTTAGATTAATGCCTTGATGTAGTATTTCTCGACATTCTTCCCAGTTTGTTCTGAAATTATGTAGTTTCGGTGTGGGTTTCTTCAGTTCAGTAGTCGTGCCTATAGTTACGATGACTCGGGAGTGATCAGACATCAGGTCGTAGTTTGATACCACGTCTGTGTATAATGTGTTGATTCCGTTAGTGACGAAAAAATCGAGCAGGTCTGGTTTTTGTTTGGATCCGTTGGCCAGTACGTGGGGGTTCCTGATGATATAAATGAGTAGTTTTTTCTTCTATTGTTTTGGCTAATTCTCTGCCCTTTGTTGTTGTTAGCCGTGATCCCCATATGGTATTTTTGCCCTTGTAATCGCCGCCGGCAAGAAACTTTGGTCCTAGGGTTTGGAAAAAGTTTTGGAAGTCGTTTTGCTTTATATTGTGTTTAGGGGGACAATACACCTCTGTTATCGTTAACTCATACGGTAAGGTTGATACTTTTACTGATGTGGCTTGAAGAAAATCTTTTTTATATTTTAGCATTTCATAGTGTTTAAGTGTTTGTTTGATTAGAATTGCAGTACCTCCGTGGGCTGTGCCATCCGGGTGGTTTGTAGTGTACATTTTATAGCTGGGTATGCGAAGATATGTTCCTTCCATGAAATGCGTTTCAGTTATTAGTAGCACAGCTATTTGATTGTGGACCAGAAATACTTTTATCTCCTCTTGATTTTGTTTCATGCCATTCGCATTCCATAATGCTACTCTTATGAACTTGGCCACTATTTAATCATTTTACTAAGGAGTGTTGTTAGCATGTTTAAGATCATGCTATTCTGTTGTATAAGTTGATTGAACATTGACTTGAACTCATTTAAGAACTGTGTTAGCACATTGTGTGTTTCTTGTGATGTTGCATTGTCGTTCATTTTGTTGCTGACTGCATTAGCGTAACTGCTGTATTGTTGACGGAAGTTGATTGGTTGAATGTTAGGAGTTTCATATGTTGTTAGTGGTTTTCTGACACTAGTCTTGTTTGCGTTATACCCATTAACAAATTTTTGATAATGTTCGCATCCTTTGTAGTTTGCCGTGTGGCTTCCACCACATAGAGCGCATGTTGCTGGTGTGTCCTTACTCTTTCTGCAACTGGTTGTACTGTGCAATCCGCCACATTTGACGCATATGTAGGGTCTGTTACAGTAGGTCCTGTAGTGGCCATATTGTTGACATCTCATGCATTGGACTATGTTATTTTTTCCCCCGTGTGGAGGTTCTATTTTTATTCTTACGTTTTGTATATTTTCAAATTTATATATTTCTTTGTTGTTGCTGGCTGGTTCCAGATCTACGAAAAATAGATTTAGTGGTTCTTTAGTTATTCTATGTTTGGCGTTTGTGATATTTCTCACTTTGTGCCCTATCTTAAGTAGTTCTTCTGCTATTTCACTTGGGTCTATTATATGATGCATTTGGTTTATTACGATTGGATAAGCCCTGTCTTCTTTTAGTTGGTAGGTGTGGTAAACTATGTTTTCTTCCTTGAAGCATCTAACTAGTTTCCTATAGCTTTCAGGAATATTGCGGTTTATTTTTACGGTACTGTTTGCCAAACTTTTGGTGTTGTACTGTTCGTCGTCAAGTTGCTCACGTATTTGTGTAATCATTTTGGGGTAATTCATTACTCCATACACGTAGATAGGAGGAGGTCGACTGGGTTTTGGACTCGTGGATTCTTGTGTTTGGTTTGTGGTTTCCTCGATTGGAAGGGGATCAAATCTGTTGTTTATCTCTACTTCATTAATTATGTCTGCTTTCGCTTGTCCTCTCGTCACCTTTTTTCTTTTGCTGCTTCGCACTTGTTGCCACTGTATTTTTTTGGTTGTTTCTTCTTGCTCGTCTTCGCTAGTTGATGATAACCTTAAGGTATACCTGCATTGTTGATCACACTGCATTGGCATGTTTGTAGTGTTTTGCGATGGGTTGATATATGTTTGGTTCACTGGAGTCAAGTAGGGAAAATTACTTACTGTTAGTTGTGGTGGTACTTTTTGTGATGTACCATTGTAGTTCATTGGTTGAATCGGATTTGCTTCTAGTTGTTGGATGATTGGATGTTGTCCATGTGAGCTGTTGTAGTACACTTCTGGTGTGTTGGATGTCATTTGTTGTGTGAACATCGCACAGTTCTGTAATAGTTTCTTTACGATATTTCGTGTTTTTCACTTATCCATTTATATTCACAATAAAATCTGTAGAATACTATCTGCACTTTTTGTTTGTTTGTTTATTTTGTTTAGTATTATCTCACTGATTGCTATCGTAACGCCACAAGCCTGTAGGCACTATTCTCAGAGCGATGTCCAAGACGTCCGCTCTGCTCGTTGGCCCAAGCTAATCCGTTTTCATAATATGAGAGACCATCCAAACAGAACCGTCGCCTTAGATTACACGCCTAACAGAGTTGTCGGAGAAGTTGCCGCATCATCACGGCGACCGGATTCGGTCCTTTCCGATAGAGTTGTGCTGCCTCCTATTTTCTTTTCGATCACTACTACTTGTGCTGCAGAACTGAGCTAGCACATGCGCTGATCCAGCCGGCTCCAGCTGATCTAGTGCCGCATTTCATACAATTCGAATTCCATTACCACCAAATTTAAAGCCCACAGCAGCGGTAGATTTCAGCTCATACAATCACTACTAGAGAACCGGCAAAATGAGTCCATGACCGTGAAGTTTCCCAGAATGTGATTTACTTCCCTTACTCTTAATTTTATTCTTTTGAGTGTGAACAAACTTCCCGGAATTTTGGGCTGCAGGTTCTGACAGCGGTGACGCCGTGTAGCCTGGTATATGAGCCTGCTACCCTAAATAATGTGTCGATACGTTAATCTGAAACGTTACCCGACTTCACGACGTTATGTTGCAGACGATATAATATTGTCTTCCGGAATTTTACTTTTTTATGAAAATTCTCTTGTAGACGTCCAGTAAACGATGTCCTAATATGTAAAACAGGGTGTTGTAGTTTTTCATCGTAATCCTGTCTGAGCACTTTCCGTTTCTTAAACTGCAGTGTACTTAAGTTGTCGACTCCATATAACGATGTTTTACTTGATCAGTCGATTGGTTAATTCGTTGCTGGACCTCGCTAGCTCAGTCACCCTTGCCTGCAGTCTCCTCGAGATCCATGATCAAAATTGTTGATCTCTCCTAGACATGTACGTGTTTAGAAACGGAGTTTTCTTCGCCAAAGGGAGGAGTCGGTGTTTCTATGTAGGCGCTACGTTTGTTACACCGTCCAGGTCACTGTGGACTCTGTGCACTCTTTGTCACTGCACTGCACTAATTAACGTTTATACAAGGTATACAGAGGTTTCCTGTCAATGCAGGCTTGTGCGGTAGGTTATCCAGTAACTTACGTAACTGCTCTGAAACTGCAGTTAGTCAGCTGAACGGTCATGCAATAGCTCAGGCGGTTAGTCGCTGGCTTCCCATCACAGCGGCCCGGGTTCGATCCCGAGTCTGGGCAAGTGGGATTTGTGGTGGACAAAGTGGCGCTGGGGGATGTTTTCTCCGAGTACTTCGGTTTCCCCTGCCAATCTTCATTCCACCAATTGCTCCACAATCACCCTCACCTATCATCTGGGGCTGGTACAAGAGGCCAGAAGTGGCCGCAGTACAAGGGACTTAGTCCCACCCCTACTAGCAATAAAAAAATAAGAGTCACCTGCTTCCCACCGCAATGACCCGGGTTTGAGCCCAGGTTTAGTCATGTGGGATTTGGGGTGAGAAAAGTGGCACTGGGGCAGGTTTTCTCCGAGCACTTCTGTTTCCCCTGCCAGTTTTCATACCACGGACTGCTCCACGTTCATCATCATCTATCATCCGGGGCCGGTACTATAGGTCAATTATTGGCTGACGTACCGAGTAGACTCAATCTCACCCCACCCCAAGAAAGTAAAATTAAAACTGAATCTAAGATAGTCAGCTAGTCAGTTCTAAGCCTCTTATACTCGCTAGGCATGGCTTCTCCTCGTCCAATATGACGTACGTTTGGATTTACGTGGTTTAGGATTACGTCTGCCTGTGTCACGCATAATTTAGTTATGTAGTCATACACGTAAGGAATTTTGAAACCGCGTGCAATTCGCGGGCTGGTCCGCACCTGTCAAGGTTTCTAGTAGCGCGGTGTACTCTGTTCTGCAGGCGCTGCAGTTTCAAGAGGTGAGCGTCCACCGCATGCTCCCAGGTGGGACAGGCATAAGTCAGCGTCGATTTTTATTTGCGACCCCACAGTCCGCTCTATATTCAGTGCCCTCCCTGTGACTTCTGTGCGAGCCATTCACTGCATGGCCACCCCAACCTCCTGCACTCGGCAGCGTGCCATCAATTGGCGCTCTATTTTGCTTACTATTTACAGGATCCGAGGTTCGACGACGAAGTTGATCGCATCACAGGATACCACACGGACTCTCTGCTATGCATGCCCGTAAGGAACGCTTACGACGAGGTCATCGCAGTGGCGCAGGTCATTAACAAAAACCCCGACATCGATAATGGCCAGTTCACGGAGAAGGACGAAAAGGTAAGACGCTCTTTCACAAATGAAGATATCGCTTACAGAGCCTGTGCAAAAATACGCCCACAAATGAAAAGAAAATTGCAGAAGGATTATTCACATAGAAAAATTAAGCTGAACTGGGGAAAAATTATATCATGTGACAGACTTATTCATTGTCTGTATTCTTTTTATTGGTTTTCATAATACGAGTATGTGGGCACGCGGTAGCGTAGTTTGGTTGAAGCACCATGCTACAAGCCGGAAGGCCGCGGGTTCGATTCCCGATTGCGTCATTGGAATTTTCAATTCACCTAATCCTTCCAGCCTCACTATGGCCCTAGGATCGACTCAGACTGTAACAGAAATGAGTATCAGGAATCTTCCTGGGCGTAACGGGGGGCCGGGGTGTAAGGCTGATAACCTCATTGTCAACTGTGAGCCGACTGTCTAGAAAACGTGGGAGTTCGACGTCTCGCAACCATGTTGGCCTGATCGGCCTGTTACAGGGATAGATTTAACTTTACCTTTCATAAAATGATGAGTAACAGATAAGCAAATTAAAAATATATAGACAATTTTACACATATCGTCACAATGTGACAACGTTACATTCGAATTTTGTCCTCATCGCATATAGAATGGGACTCAGAACGTTTATTTAGGACAGCCGTCATCTTTGTTCTTCGCTTCAAGTACTTGTCGCCCAAATTACATGATAAAGGCATGTAACTGAGGATCATATTTCTAATTTGGGTAGCTGCCTGTAATTGGTTCCGGTCCGTGGAATCCGTAGCATGTCAGTCTGTACATCTATTAGATATATGTTGAGGTTATCACAGCGGTGGTCTTCTGGGATTATGTAACCGTGTTGCATGGCAGGTGCATCATAACTTGTGCTCTTCACCAAGTAAAAATATAATGAAGTTAAGGAGGATGGGATGGGCAGGGCATATGGCACGAATAGAGCCGAAGAGAAATGCATATAGGATTTTTTTAGAGAACCGGAAGTAATGAAGACCAAGGTGTAGGTGAGTGCATGATATTAAAATGGATTTTAGAGAGGTAGAACGGGTTGGTATAGACTGGATTGATCTGGCTCAGGATAGGGACCAGTGGAGAGCTGTTGTGAACACGGCAATGAACCTTCGGGTTCCGTAAATTGTTGGGAAATACTTGAGTAGCTGCACAACTGGCGGTTTCTCAAGAAGGACTGATTTCTATGAAGATAATGTATAATTAGTACGGGTATGTAGTTAGTAGTATGGTAAGTGGGTAGTTGTTCCAAAACTTTGTTACCACTTACCACATTAAAATAACACTGAGCTTATACACAACAGCACAATATACCTACNTTGATCTGGCTCAGGATAGGGACCAGTGGAGAGCTGTTGTGAACACTGCAATGAACCTTCGGGTTCCGTAAATTGTTGGGAAATACTTGAGTAGCTGCACAACTGGCGGTTTCTCAAGAAGGACTGATTTCTATGAAGATAATGTATAATTAGTACGGGTATGTAGTTAGTAGTATGGTAAGTGGGTAGTTGTTCCAAAACTTTGTTACCACTTACCACATTAAAATAACACTGAGCTTATACACAACAGCACAATATACCTACTTTTTTATTGCTAGTGGGGTGGGACTAAGTCCCTCGTACTGAGGCCACTTCTGGACTATTGTACCAGCCCCAAATGATAGGTGAGGGTGATTGTGCAGCAACTGGTGGAATGAAGATTTGCAAGGGAAACCGAAGTACTCGGAGAAAACCTGTCCCAGCGCCACTTTGTCCACCACAAATCCCACTTTACCAGACCCGGGATCGAACCCGAGCCGCCGCGTTGGGAAACCAGCGACTAACCGCTTGAGCTATGGCGCGGCCAAATACTGTATATATAATTACTAAGTGTTGTACACTTTTCTCCTAACCTCGCTGCTTTTCTGTTTGTTTACAGATGTTCGAGACATATCTGCAGTTCGTTGGCATTGCCATTACAAATGCTCAGATTATGGAGGCATCCAGACGGGAATATGAACGCAACAGGGTAAAAACTGAATACAACTGTATTCACCGTTAATTGTACAACGGAAGGTCTCAAAGTTTCACCGGAGATTTGCTTTGACTATGGACACACGCAAATATTCCAAAGAATATATTCAATTTTTTTTATGATATTGTCACGTATCCCGCAAGCCCCGATACGCTATAGTATATAAGATATTAAGGCGTTCCTTTTTATTATTGAATGATGCGAAGAGACACTTTGGCGATTAAAACTATCTGTCAGACATTTAGGGTAACAAATTATACGTGAGCGGAAAAACATACATAGAACTGGTTACAGTTTTCAAGTTAATTATGTATATCAGTTATCTCCCCTTCTTAGATATAAATATTATTTTGATGAGGTCTTTGCTCTGAAATACCTCAGAAGCCCTCCTAAACGTTTGCGTTTCGCGCATGAGCGTTCGTGCTGTGTGTTCGCAGAACCTGCTGGAGGTGGTACATGATCTGTTTGAAGAGCAGACGTCGCTGGAGAAAGTGACACTTAAAATTATGCAGAGGGCTCAACGATTGCTCAAGTGTGAAAGGGCTGCAGTTCTGCTCCTGGACGAGAATGCAGACACCGTCAAATTCTCTAAACTATTCGAGCTCACCTCTCCGGCTCACAGCTCCAACCACATCAGGTACAACTCCTTGCAGTTTATTAACAGATGTCTTCGGCTCACTGCTCTATCCACATTAGGTACAACTCCTTGCAGTATATTAACAGATATCTCCAGCTCACTGCTCTAGCCACATAAGGTACAGCTCCTTGCAGTATATTAACAGATGTTTCCGGCTCTCAGCTCCAACCACATCAGGTACAGCTCCTTGCAATTCATTAACAGATGTCTCCGGCTCACAGCAGTAGCCACATCAGGTACAGCCCCTTGAATACATTAACAGATGTCTCCGGCTCTCAGCTCCAACCACCAACCACATCAGGTACAGCCCCTTGAAGTACATTAACAGATGTCTCCGGCTCACAGCAGTAGCCACATCAGGTACAACTCCTTGCAGTACATTAACAGATATCTGTGGCTCACAGCTCCAACCACATCAGGTACAGCCCCTTGCAGTATATTAACAGATGTCTCCGGCTCACAGCAGTAGCCACATCAGGTACAGCCCCTTGAATACATTAACAGATGTCTCCGGCTCTCAGCTCCAACCACCAACCACATCAGGTACAGCCCCTTGAAGTACATTAACAGATGTCTCCGGCTCACAGCAGTAGCCACATCAGGTACAACTCCTTGCAATTCATCAACATATGTCTCCAGCTCACTGCTCTAGCCACATGAAGTACAGCTCCTTGCAGTACATCAACATATGTCTCCGGCTCACTGCTCTAGCCACATCAGGTACAGCTCCTTGCAGTACATTAACAGATGTCTCCGACTCACAGCTCCAACCACATCAGGTACAGCACCTTGCAGTACATTAACAGATGTGTCCAGCTCACTGCTCTAGCCACATCGGATACAGCTCCTTGCAGTACATCAACAGATGTCTCCGACTCACAGCTCCAACCACATCAGGTACAGCACCTTGCGGTATATTAACAGATGTGTCCGGCTCACAGCAGTAGCCACAGCACGTACGGATCCTTTCAGTTCATTAACAGATGCCTGAAACTCTTTGTAAAAATAAAGGGTTGAGGTTTACTGGATGGAGACATATGTGATAATTTTATGTTGTCTCGCCATTTTGAATACGGAAGAGAAATTATTGTGTTTACACGAGTCATCCACGGGTTTTCTCCTCATATTGGATTAATCCAATCAATATTTACAACCTCTCTTTCTTTACGGCTAATGTTGTACCCAAATAAAAATAAAATAATATACCGCACTCAGTAAATTCTTAATGCGATGGATGGGCTTGAATAGGCGATGTCTGGTCTGAAGTCCATACAGGCGTAAATAAGCGAACAACGTGCTCGGAGCTACCCGCCGCCAATGTCCTCAGACTTCTTAGCCCCCTTCCCCTACCTGGGAGCGCTGTAACTCACATGGGGAACCACTGTTTTAAATCGATCATGAGCATAACAGAGAATTTAAGGGGCACTTGTTTATCAACAGTCTATAGCGGGGCTGTGAATATCTCCCTAAATTAATACGAGCAGTTTCAAAAGACGAAGACTGCATTTTAATTTTACTGTTAATAATTTTAATGTATTCTGTTTTATTAACTTAATTTTGTGAGTTATGTGACCTGTTCTGTGGTACAATGCCCCCCCCTCTGATTTCTGTGTATGTTGTCTCTGTTCTGGACAAATATTTTATATATAGCAATAAGAGCTCCGGCTACTGTCGAGGTCAAGAAAACGTTGATCTATACCTCCACTCCCCCCATACTTTTAAAGGCGTAGTGCTTAATTAGTTAAGCACACGTACAACGTCACCTTATCGGAACACGAGTAACTGTGGTGAGTAGAAAAACGACTGATGATTATTGCCTCTCCTAGCAGACCACTGTGTTGGTGTAACTTTAATATCAGTTTACTAGAAGCTGTGCTATGTATATTGGACATCCGTATAAAATGTGTGCTTGAAACCACTGACTGTTTGTTTAACTTCATAGAAATATTTTAATTGAACTTCCTCATTTGCTTTAATTTCTGTGTGGTTTTTCAACTAACAACGTTCAGAATGAGTTTCAGTAGAAATAAGCCATTTATTTCCTTAATTTATATTCAAAATCAAACATCCGAGATGCGCTCATCGACTTTCAAAAATCTGGGAGTGAAAGTAAATAAATATTATTCTTGTACTGAAGGAGTACTGCGTATTTCCTCTGAGATTTCACACGTAATATTATGTATGTTTTAAATATTATATTTCTGCATCTTGCTGTATCATTCGTTCTCTCATTTCCATTCATAATGCAACCAAAATTCGTTCACAATCTCTCCTTTATTTTAAAATGCCATTAAAATCACATCTCAATGCAACATGTTGTAGTTCCAGTTGCTCACTAATTGAAACTGTCCCACTGCACCAATGAATGCATCAATGTATCCGATGCTGTTACTTGCAGCAGACACTGTTGTATCTTAGGAGGTCGTGTGTTTAAGGGTGTAAGGAGACACAATCTTAGACTAAATTACAATTTAACGACTGTCTGCACTTTGCATGTCTTAAATAAAGTCAGATGCGGCGTAAGTGATAATTAGAGTCTTAAATTTTAATGTGGGAGTATTTTTATCGCTTTTTTGGCTATGTTTATCATTTACGTCACTAATTGTAATAAAACTTTTGAGAGTGAATACTCCGTGAATCGAACCTGACAAAGATTGTCGAATTGAAATTTAATTATTTTTATACAAAATTTGTAAATCACGTTTAAATATAAATAAAATTGTTATT